TTATTGTTTTGATCTAAAATTTATCTCTCAAAGTCACATATGTTCAGAGATGGGGGCTTTTAGATCATGGGGGTGGCTACAGTCATCAGTAGATTCATCTATTGATGATGTCAAAATTTCATGACATTATAGAAATGCAGTGGGTCCCAGTTGAAGGAGTGGGTTCCTGAGCCATGACCTTGGGGACTACATCTTGTAGCTGGCCCTTTCCTCTTTGGCTCTTCCTCTCTCTTTCTGCTTCCTGCTGCATGAGATGAGAAGCTTTCCTCCAGCATGCTATTCTGCCGGGGCTTTTCTGTGTCCCCACAGGCCTAATAACAATGGAGCCCATTGACCATGGGCTAAACTTCCAGAACCGTAAGGTGAAACAAACCTTTCCTCTACAAGTTGTTTATCTCAAGTATTTTGTCACAGCAACAGAATGCTGGCCAATAAAACATGTGAATAGTGTAATGATAAGATCAGGTTAATTGATATATCCATGAACTCAGGCATTTATTATTTCTTTGTGTAGAAATACTCAAAATTCTCTTTTGAATTCTTATGAACCACAGTTTATCTTATGTGATATGGAACATTCTAATTAATTTCTCCTACACAAAAGCCAATCTACTTGTTAAACAAGTTTTCTCCACCCCCCTTTTCTTTCAGCCTCAGGAACAACTGCATATTCTTCTCTTTTTCCTGAGATGACTTTTTTAGCTTCCACATATTAAGTGCCAGCATGTCTTTCTGTGCCTGACTTATTTAACACAGTATCCTTTGGAGTTATTCAGGTTGCTGCAAATGACAGGATTTCATTCTTTTTTTATAGCTGAACGATATTATGTATACACACCATGTTTTCTTCATTGGTTCATCTGTCGATGGACACTTAGGAGGAATCTATATCTTGGCTGTTCCAAACAGGACTGCGGTAAACACGGAGTGCAGATACTTCTTCAGTGTACCAATTTACTTTCCTTTGCATATATATCCAGCAGTAGAATTTATTTTGTGCCAGAAACTTGGTTTCTTAAGCAATTTATTTTCCAAACCATTCCTCTGAAAATAATGCAACCAAGGGAAGGAACAGAATGGAAGAGATGTATAAGAAGTAGCCATTGTACTCCAGTCCGTCTCTTGGCTGCAGTGCTGGTGAGGTTCACAGTCACCCTGCTACCTTTTTTTATGTGCCTCTTGAAGATGAAATGTGGCAGTGAGGAGACTTTTTAACCACAGCCAAAGGCACGAGGCTAACAGCTCAAACATATGCCTTCCTGATGTCAAAACCGTCATTCTTCCTGTTGCTGTGCATTCTTTCCCTTACCTATTTTCAAGGGAAAATGTTTACCGTGCTTATCACCTAAGAACTCAGGAATAATAGTGTATAAGTTTTACAATTTAAAATTTTATTTCATTTACTATCACTTTATTTCTGAGCGTAACCGTAATGCAAGGGCTTTTATTATAATTGCTTATGGGAAGGAATTTTACAGCAGCTCTTAAATGTCACTTGTTTGTGCTAATTTCTACATTTCCTGAAATTTGAAATTCTCATCTAGTGAATAAATGAATTAAAATAACCACTAAGGAGGCTTTCAAGTGTAGCCAGATAACAGATGGAAGCAATGATGATAAGAGCAGAGTTTGCTTGAGTTGCTACAGCTCAACAAATTAAGAATTGGTAGAAGTTCTGAACATTTGTTGAGGGGAAATTCTTTCTTCTGTAGAACGTGCCTGAACTGGCATCATGGGGCTTGGGTCATGAGTCCAAAGTCTGACAGGATCCTGTGCACCATTGCTGTTCAGTCAGTGGGGTTGACTTAGTATAACCTGATGGGGATGCCAGTGATCTTTTCTCTTTGCCTTGATGAAATTTCATTACTATAACATTTATTTTTAACTTCAAGGATGAGAGAGAGAGAGGACTTTTATGTCTGTATTTCTTGCACTAACACTATTTTCCAGTTCCCTGTGCATTTTAATTTATCTGTCTCAAAACAGATACACCACTTAATCATTCATTCCATAATAGTAATTTAATGCCTACTAGTTATGAGGCATTGTTCAAAGATTTGGAGTACCTAACAGTGAACAAAGCAGACCAAAGACCAAATGATCCCTGGAACATAATATAAGTAAGTAATATGTTATTTTCTAACATAACATGAATAAACATAACAATGTAACATATGCGGACATAACATGAGTTAGAAGGTGGAAGGCTATTAAAATTACATAGCTTTGTAAGACAGAGGACTGGTGTAGGCTCCAGTTTTAGGGTTGTCAAAGTCAGTCCCACTAAGAAAGTTTAAGGAAGGTGTAAGACATCTGAGGAAGATGTAAGAAGGGAAGATAACGAGTTACATGGATGTTATTGTTTAGATCTAAAATGTCCCACGATGTCTCATCTCAAGTGTTCATAGGCTGGGCTTTTGGAAGGTAATTGAACCAAGCTATATTTGTCAGTGGATTATTCCATTGCTGAGTTCATAACTGAACGTGCTGTTAGGATATGGGGCCTGCAGCTCTCCTCCACCGAATCCTTTCACCGTTGTGTGTGTGCTTTGGAGCCAGTGGACCATGACATAAATCTGCTAAAACCTTGAGCCTAAATAAAACTCTCCTCCTTTAAATTGCGGGTGTTGGGTATTTTGTGCTAGCAATGGGAAAGAAACAAATACAGTTCCTTGTCCTATTGACAAATCAATAGCTAATTTGGAGATCCCAAGGCAAGAAAGGACTTTTGCATTTAAGGCAGAGGGTCTCACAGTGGCCACCCAGAATACTAACATAGCAGGTACTCAGAATATTAAACTGAAAATATGTTGGAAGAGAATCTTCTAGGACCCTCTTCTGAGCCTACAAATCAAGCTTTCTAGGTGATCTTAATGTACTCAGGTTTGAAAACCACTGTTTTGGTTAGTTTTCATTTTGGCTAGAGCAAAATAAAGATGGAGAAAATAATAGGAAATGAGATACCAGTATTAAAGAGTCAGGGGCCAGTATGGTAGAGCCTTTTGGTCTTGTAAGAATCTTAGCTTTTATTCTGACTTGAGTGATTGGTCTTTGGAGGGTTTTGAGAGAGAAGGAGTGCTTCACAGGTATTACTTTGCTGGACTGGGAACAGTACATGGTGAGGAGAGGGGAGGATGGAGTCAAGGAGACCTGTTTGGATCCTGTAGTTCAGAGGACAGGTGATGGCGATAGATTGGACTACAGTGATGACCATAACACTAGTGAGAAATGATTAGATTATGAATGTATTTTTGAAGTGGGGATGATAGGATTCACAGATGCATTTACTATTTTTGAGGAAAAGAAAAGTGGTCAAAAGGGCTCAAGGGTTTGGGCCTGAGCATCCGGGAGAATGGAGTTGGCATTTGCAGAGTTGGGGAAGCCTGGGGTAGACAGCTCTGTAGGGAGAATCAGAAGTTCAGTTTTGCTAATGGTGCTAAGTAGGAGACATCTTCTAGAAGTCCAAGTGGACAGAGAATGTAAGGGGGAGCTGTGAGAAGCTGAGATATAAATTTGGGTGCTATCAGCATGTTGACAGTGTTTATAACAAGACATAATTTAGGGAATGTTTATGGTGATAAGTTTGTGGCATTCATGTGGTAAATACTAAAAATGGATCGTTACATTAACCACTAAAGTGAGAAAACCTGCATAATGAATGGTTAACAGTGACAATTTTGTCTTGTTTTAGCTTCTCCTTTCTTTCCCTTGATGATTGTGTCAGTATTAGATCATAACAAAAATAAATCACATACTTGATCTTATAGTTAATGAGCAGACACGTTGTTTTATATGATTTCGTGTGATTCATCACTGCATAGATTTCTGGTTCTCTCAGTAGTGAGTAGAATCTGTAGAACTTACTGAGCCCTATTCAGAATTCCCAGTTGAATAGTTACCTCGCTGATGCTCTACTAAGAATTTGATCCTGGTGCCATTTGGCCAACTAACCACACCAATTCCCATTCAGAGCTGCCAGAAATGCTTTCTTGTGATTTTGAAGTTCAAATTGCCTGCGTTTAATCCTCATTTCTCCCATAGGAAATTACACATCCTTCATGCAGTTAAAGTTAGGTATGTTGTCAGTGGACAAAATATTTGGAAAAGCTTTGAAGTGGTCTCTCTACTGTGTATCTTTTTTTTTTTTAGAAACTTAGATACTGTTTGCTCGTTGTCTTTTTCATTTTTAAGTCTTATCTTTAGCCTCAAAGTTAGATTGTCTCATGCAACATTTGCTTTTCTGTATAGTTTGACTGGGCACCCAAAGCATATTTTGTCTCTTGTCCCCCAGCCTCCAGCTTCATGCTCCTTTTAGCTTGCTCAGTGTCATTTCCATTTCTTCTTTTCTTCCTCTCTAAGCTGCCAAGAGCAAGAAATGGCCAGTGAGGAAAGTAGTCTTCCAAAGCCTCGCTCTCCTAGCTGTCTCTAAATTTCCTTCAACAAAGATACAAAACTTCAATTCTGTTGACGAAAGTAGCAATTTTTGGGGCCAAGAAGATTTTTCAATTTAATCGTACCTACAGTAGCAACGTAGATTGCTTGCCTGTAATTGATGGATTGATTTTTACAGAAATGGATACTATTTCAACCAGGAACTGGCAATAACCACATTTAAAGAGTGATACATCTCTTTTTAAGAAGACTAAATAGAATAAATATATTTAATCGGAGTTATGTGTATTTGTCATCAAATATGCCTTACCTTCAAAAATATTATATTTATATATTAAATATAATCACAGAAATCACTAAAATGATTTGATTTAGAAAATAAATGATAATGGGGGTATTGATAGTATTTTTTAGCAAATTTTAGATTGTTTTCCATTTTTTTCTTCTGTTAGTTCTCCTTTTTTAGATGTCCATATTTCTTGCAGTCAAGTATGAAAAGTGCAGTACACCTGCTGGAGAGCAGCCACATAGGTTCAGGGTTCCCCCCCACCTCACCCTCCCACAACAGCTGTTATTTAGGAGGAAAATGTATTTATGCAAATTAACAGGAATTAGAGAAAGAAAGAACTCATTTGATGGAAGATGTAACCGCAAACGAAAGGAGGATGAAGGAACTAGAAGATAATTTGCTTTACCGTCTGACAAGCACTCAAGGGTCCCTGGTGGAAGACGAGAGTCTAATTGTTGTACTGAGTAACACCAAAAAGACAGCGGAAGAAGTGACGCAGAAGCTGGAAATTTCTGCGGAGACAGAAATTCAAATTAACTCCGCCCGGGAGGAATACAGACCTGGTGAGTCTGGTAATGAAAGACAAATGTCACAGGAAAATGAAGCAAGAAAGAAATGACAATTAGAGAAAGTGAATGAATGAAGCAGGGAGTTTTACAGATGATTATGCAAAGTGGAGTGGCCAGTTGTGTCTTGTGGCATCGTTTGGGAACTTCAGTCAATTTGAGTTAAAAAAATTTTATTGCGGTCGAAATTTTTAAGGTGCCTGTAATTCATGCTAGTTGGCAGATCCTTTAAGGTTCTCATGAACTTATTCTTGTTAGAAAGTAGAGGAAGATTTTTTGTGAGACATCTGAATACCAATAAACCAATAAAATCTGAGAATTAATGCGGCACTGGAGACTGTTCATTCACTGTTTATCATTTGGTGATCAGATGCCAGTAGCTGGTTTATAGCCTTCGTATTCAGAGAGTGATTGTCTGGTCTTCATCCTCAGGCACCAATTTGCAAATAGAGCTTCAGTGGGTTTTCAAGGAATCTACTCTAACTGTTCAATTGACTGTCCCTTAGTTCTTTATCATTCCTCCTGGAAAAAGCATTAGGACAATGCTAGGGACAGAGTCAGGAGCATCATCTATCTTTGTGATAGCTTGTTTTGCAAATTTGAGGCCACTTATAGGTACAAATTCCTTTTGAGCTTCAAAATAAGGTCCTAAAGGCCTACACCACTCCCTGAATGGTAAATGCAAAGAATTTGAATTCCTTCGTTGTCTTTTCTACCTATAGTAAACATAGTACAATATTCTTATTTATAAGATGTTGACAACTTCTAAAATTAGAAAATCCATTTGTTTAACATAAATAGCAGACTACCCATACAGAGTTTACACATAAGAATTAAATATATTGAAAAAGGAGTGTGGCTGTAGTTAAGATTTTGAGTTGGCAGCTGCTGATAAGTTAACAAAATAGAAGTTTTCATTTAAAGTTCAGGCTGAGTATTTTGCACGAATCATTTATTTTCCACTCTTAGGGTACACGCAACCTTGCTCTTTGTATTCCAGTTGCAACGCGGGGCAGCATCCTCTACTTCCTCATCACTGAGATGCGCTTGGTTAATGAGATGTATCAGACTTCGCTTCGCCAGTTTCTGGGCTTGTTTGATCTCTCCTTAGCCAGGTACGCCTGTACTCAGGAAGCCGAGTTCTTTATCTGTGGATGAGAAAGATGGCGTTACATTTATTGTTTCCTTTTTCTTTGTCAGCAAGGCTCTGTTTGCTTTTTGTCCTCTAAGGATAATGTCATTACCACTGTATTAACAGATTATTCTGATTGGTCATCGTATGCTCGGGGAAAGCTGTATGAGCTCTCCATCCATTGATTTGATTCCTTTCGTTTCACATGTGTCTGTTACACAAGAAAATTCCCAAGCCGTGGCTGTGAGTGATAGCACGCTGTGACTCAGACTGATTTGGGCAGCACTGAGGACTCTCCTCCATTATTTCACTTTGAGAGAATGCTTGTTATTTTAGATTTAGGACACTTAGTCTTCATGTGCAAAGATAAAAATCAGTCCTGCAAAGTTAGATATTCTCCATGAAAGACACTGCTCTGTAGATAATAGAAAAGGGCAGTGGGACACAAATATTCTCTTTTTCAGGTCCATCAAGAGTCCAATCACAAGTAAGAGAATTGCTAATATCATTGAGCACATGACCTATGAGGTTTACAAGTGGGCCGCCCGAGGGCTGTATGAGGAGCACAAATTCCTGTTCACCTTGCTGCTAACCCTGAAGATTGACATCCAGAGGAACCGAATCAAGCATGAAGAGTTTCTCACTCTTATTAAAGGTCAGCAGAAAGCCTTGAACACAGGTGCCAGAATTGTCATGAAGACCCTTTACAGTACTTTTTAGATCGTAACGTTCTCCTTGCATTGCACTGAAAGTGTGTGAGCGATTTTATTTGCTCATATATTGAATGGATTCATTGAAGACCTGATTGTGTATCTAGACATAGTGTAGGTATTTGGAATATGTCAGGGGACAAAATCCCTTGTAGAATTAATATATATCTATATCTATATATGTGTGTGTATGTATGTGTATATATTATGTATGTGTATATATATATATATATATATATATATATGTATTTGAAGAAGGTGCAGAAAAAAGCAGTAGTAATAAATAAATTATATATCATGTAGTATGTGGGAAGATAATATGTACTGTGGTAAAAGCAGCACGAAAGGGGCAATAAGGGATTACAGGATGTGGGCTGGTGGAGGTTGAGAACTTTTAAGTGTGGCATCTAGTGGGATTTCAAGTAGGGAAGCCTTCCTAGAGACTGCCAGGCTATTCGTGATCTGAGAGAACAAGAGTCAGTGGCCACCGGCCCCTTTGGAGGGAGGGCGTGGAAGGCAAGGGGACAGCATGAAGGCCTCCAGTGGGAGTGAGCATGGCGTGACGGAGGAAAAGCAGTCGGAGCAGGCCCCTCAAGCAGTGTGGGAAACATGATTGTGCGGCTCGTCCCAGGAGTTACTGTCACACTACTGCTCAGTAGACCACTAGGCCACTGGAACAATACAGACAAGTGGAAGGCTGGAGACATAAATGATCATCACGTTCTCTAAGAGTTGAAAACGTATATAAGACAACTGTGTCTTGGTCAGTTCAAGTTGCCACAGCAAGCTACCATAGACTAGGTGGCTTAGAAACAACAGAAATTTGTTTTTCTCAGTCCTAGAGGCTGGGTGTCTGAGACCAGACTCTCTTCTGGGGGGCACTTGGCTGACCTCCTACTGTATCTTCACATGACAGAGAGCAGAGCTGTTTCATGACTTAGGAGGACGGGAATCTCATTCAGGAGGCACTGTCTTCATGACCTCATCTGCTCCTATTCACCTCCAGGGAGGGCTCCCACCCAGGATTGGATTTCAACACAGGGATCTGGGAGGGCACCACCTTTCAGAACGAAGCACTCTCTAAGTAGCATTGTAAGGTGTTTAAAGTGATTTTAAAGTCCTTGAAGAGAAAGTTTACCTCAGCAGGTAGCTCTCATCCATCTACTGAAAGGCAGATTTATGACATAATTGTTCCAAAATTTCCCCTGAAGCTGTTTGGCAAAGCAGTATTATACAAATTGCTGAATGCCAAAGGCCCACAAAGACCTGTGCAACCTATGCGAACACCAGATAGAGTAAAACACAGTAAAATACTGAAGATAATGTAATAGCACTCATCATTTGCTGAGCATATTATATGTTCTAGGATGTATATTTATTATATGAGTGTGCAATAATCTTATTATGTATATTTTACCAACCTTGTTTTATACATGTGGAAACTGAAGTTTGAAAAGATTAAATGCTGTGCACAAAACTACTAATTAAGGGGCTGGGGATTTAGCTCAGTGGTTCTGCCGCCTGCCTTGCAAACGCGAGGACCTGAATTCGATCCGCAGTACCAAAAAAACCAAAACAAAACTACTAATTAAGATAATGGCAAAGCCAATATTTTAAGTGTCATCTCCTAAACTCTAAACCTCATGCTAGTTATTATTTTGCCATACTATATGCGTTCCAGTGTGTCGATATGACGTGGTGTCAACATTACTTCCACGAGGAAATGTACTTTTATGCCTTAATCGGGAATGACAGGAACAGCTACCCATTAGGATACTCCATCAGCTGATGGACCAGTCATCGAGGCTGGAAATCATGAACATATCATGGGTTCGCTGGGGAGAGCAACTCTTCCACCTGTGTATTTACATGAGGTGTTGTGTCTCCGTATCGTTACCTTCCATACATTCTGATTGACAAAAGTTGGAAAATGAAGTTCCGATGTAGATGTAGCAGAAAGGGTTCAAAGGTTAGAAGCAAGAATTAGAGAGAGGAGAAAGGGGATCTGAATTCAAATATAAATGAATGAGTTTTGTTGCTGCTAACAGGCAGCAAATGTATTTAGCTTAGGAAGGTCTAAATTGGGAAGAAGAAAGTTAATATGTTGTCTGGACACTTGACTGAAGTGTAGTCTTAAGTCTTATCCTTTTCAAATTTTGTTTACTCATCTCTCAAACAAGAATAAAATAGACTTTATATTCACATACATATGTATATAAAAGTGTTTTGTATTTGTGTGTCTGGGGACCTACACTCCCTAGGTTAACCATGAACTATCTGCAGTGTTAGATCCATTAGTAGTAGAAGGTAGGGCCTTTGGAAGTAATTAAGTCATGGGGCAAAGCCCTCAACAGTGAAGTTAGTGCTCATATAAAAGAGCTTTGCAAGAGACCCCTCCCCATTCCACCTCCTGAGATTGCACAGAATATGCTGTCTGTGACCCTGCATGTGTGCCCTCACTAGACCCCGGGTCTGCTGGTGTCTTGATTCCAGACTTTCTGTCTTCCAGAACTGTGATAAATGGGCTTCTGTTGTTAATCAGTAGAGTAGAACATGGTATTCTATTACAGCAGCAAAATGGAGTAGGACATATAGGAGAACTATTTTGCTAGTGGTTTTCTATCTATGTTAGATGCAAAGGACTAGTTTAGGTGACTCTAAGCTTGCTTTAGCTAAGGCACTTTATGTCTCTGTGTTAGAGCATCTGTAAGTCTTTCATTGCAAGCATATGTCATTTGAACAAAGTGTTATGGTAAAAACTCCATCTTTGCTTTTTCCCCTCCAAAGCAAGAGTTCAAGAAGTAAAAGAAATAGAATAATTCTCTATCGTCTTGAGAAATTTATTTATTTGTTTTTAATGTTTTTGAGTCCAGGCTGGCCTTTGGGCCATTCTCATGGATCTTTATTGCTCCCTGATTTAAAACAAAAATTTCTTTATTTTTTAGTTAGTATTTCCACTGAAATGGCTTCAAGACCACACTTAAATAAAATAAATATACTAAGATGAATTTGGCAAAAGATGACTAATGGTGTACATGGTGTTTCGATAAAGCAGAGATTGGCCCAATAAATAAATATCTTTAATGTTATTATTTGTTTATAACATTATATTCAAAAAAGGATTTTAAAGCTTCCTAGATGCATAGCTTATATCCTGTTATGAATGAGGTTTAAAGCACATTTCCCAGTACCTTTTTAATGGATATTATTTGTTAGACACCATGTTTTGTTTTAAAGATTTTCTAATCCTTTCTTTTACTTAAAATATGATTGTTTATAAATTGAATTTTTCTGATGTGGGCAACAGTAATATTTTTAATGTTTCATTTATCTTATGGTATTGTCAGAATGATATGAGTTATATCAGTATTAAGCTAGTCATTAGTGAAATAATGGGAATCATTACCAAATGGAAATTTTTGTTGTAGTTAGATTGAGCGAATACAAGTGATTAGAGCAGAGACACTGGGATGTGCTCAAAATGGATGTAAATAATATATTTGATTATAGAAAATAATCCTTCAAATATATCTGGTGCTACTGAGATTCCTAGATAAATTTTCTCTTTAGAGTCACCTTGCACCAATATTGGGCCACTCCCAGAAACTGCCCATTTAGTGGCCCCCTAGTTCCCCAACCCCAAGTGAGTGTGTTTTGTACATTTACACCATGACATTCAGGCTTCATTGGTCCCATTTTGCAGATTTAGAAACATAGCCTCAGGCAGGCTTGTCCTAAACATTAGCCAGGTGGAGCAGGAGGAGAATCCAGCACCTGCCTGATTCCAAAGCTAGATTATTGACTATTTAATGTGATTTGCTAAAATCATTTACTGATATGTTCATATTTGGGGGCATAGACTTCATCTGATTTATATTTCTGTGCTCAATAAATGTTAAGTTACTAAAATAAAGTACTTGAATAAAAATTTGCTAAGTGGATTGTTTTACAGTAAAGATAGAAAAATGTGATAGCTCTTAATGTTTAATTTCAAAGGTGGTGCCTCATTGGACCTCAAAGCCTGTCCTCCTAAACCAGCAAAATGGATCCTGGATATGACTTGGCTGAATTTGGTAGAACTTAGCAAACTTAGGCAGTTTTCAGATGTCCTTGATCAGGTACTGTGTTCATGTTCTTTGAATAAACTTAAGTAACTGTCACGACGAGTAGCTGTCTTGTTTATCACCAGCAGTAATATGTGTGGAGGAGAGATGCTTCTCAGTATTGTAACTCTTACATGATATCACATGGGCCTGACCTTCCCTGCAGCTCTCCCACTCTCTGATTAAGCATCTGACACACTACAGACTGGTCTCACAGGAAGAAATGTGTCCTGGGAGTTTAACTAGTGGTGTTTTGGGCCATATACCTGTATCACCAATTGAAACTCCATAATTAGAAAAATTATTGCATTGAATCTGGTTGCATCATTATGACTTAAATTTTTTTCCAGTAATTAGATGAAAATAAATATGAATAGCCTCCCTGTAATACGAAAGTTCATTTCTTGCTTTGTTTTCTCTCTCCCTTCTGCCTCTTGCTCCTCCCACTGCACAGCCCTAGTTAGGAGTCCAGGTATAAACCTCAGGGAGACACTTGGTGTCTGATCTTTGAAAGTTGTCCTTCCAGGATCGATCAGAGCCTGATGAACTGTAGAAGTGTTGGAACGAGCTTGAGTATCAGGCGTCTGTATGGATGTGAGATTGGCAGCTAAAAAAAAGTTGTAGGCATTTTTTTTTTATTAGGAAAATATACTAAGATTCTTCACTTTCCCATTTTAAATTGACCAAATTCCTAGTTCTACTACTTTTTGTTTTGCTTTACAACTGTGTTCATTGTTGTTACTATCATGGACTTGGAGTGGAAGCCATTCTTTTGGGTTAAATAACTTTATTTTTGGAGATAATGGTATCTGGTAGTTTATTTCCCCATATGATGACCCAGTGGCATTTTCCAGAAGGCAGTCTGTTATTGAAATCGCTGCCTTATGGGGACTGTATAAGACACCGCAAATCATTCCATATTATACAGTCTTTCATGGTTGAATTAGGTTATTATTTTTTAGCATGATATTTTCTAAATAGAAACATGATTTTTCCTTTGATTAGACCACACAGCAAATAAACTTGAGGCTTCAATCAAAGGAACACCCCAGAGAGCATAAGATTATACTTATCTTAGATGTTGTTTGTTTGTTCAATGCTTTTGACATGCTTGCCTCTGTAAAGCTTGCATTTCTTTGATTTCTGAGCTCCAGAAGATAATGCACTTTGTCTTTTTATTCATTAGCAATTGCTGAAGGTGGCAAGTGTCTGACCTTTTGTCTGGTGATGATATTTTAGGGTGTATCTCAAATTACTCTAGATTAATAGAGTATTGACCAAAAACCTGTTTATTCGTTAAAATGTGTATTAAATGTCTCCTTCTGTGTCAGGAGTAGTTCTGAAAAATGAAATATAAGTGAATAAGGTTTGGATTCTAATCATGAGAGAATTTTATGGAGCATTTCAGGTTTCCTTGAAATAATGAAAATAAGTATTTATTTACAAATTTGTTACCATAAAGACATAGAGGAAGGCAATCATCCCTACTTTGGAACAGTGGGCTGATATAGACTGATTATGGAAGAAATCATGCTTGATGTTAGACTATCATACCTTTTTTTGGCTTTAGAGTATGAAATAAAAAAGTATCAATGTGTCTTAAATGGTCAGAAGGGTTGATGAATAGTGTCTGGGAATGATTACTGAAAGATTTTTATGGGATGCGATGCATCTCATATCCCATGCTATTTTCAGATATCAAGAAATGAGAAAATGTGGAAAAGTTGGTTTGATAAAGAGAACCCAGAGGAGGAGCCTCTTCCAAATGCCTATGACAAATCTCTTGACTGTTTCCGATGTCTTCTCCTTATTAGATCCTGGTGTCCTGACAGGACCATTGCCCAGGTAAAATGTATGCATTGAAACACAAGAGACTGCTCTGAAGGAGAATTTCCCTTTAAGTTTAAGGAAATATTTAAAATGCACCATCAAGGAGAATTTTCTTGTAGGCTGCTATGTAATTTTCTAGCAACACAAATTTGAAAAACGGAAAAGTAAAGAGCAAATAAATTTAGTGAGATGTACATTAGGCTAAATGATTTATTAACCTTTTTTGGTCCAAGTGGTGCAACAAAAATAAATGAGGAAACCATGCCCTAAGCTTGGCGGATAAGGCATAACATAAAGGTAATGCGTTGTGCTTCTGCATCATTTTATAATAACTCAAAATGAGATGGCCACTCTGTTTTGCCAGGAGTAAATTAGTACTTTATTGAAACAAGAAGAGTGTAGTGGCAGGAGGGAGAAAGCAGTCTAGGGGGAAGGACACCAGGCCCAAACCCAAAGTCATTTCTCTTCAAAATGTCATAGCTCTGAAAGTAAGAGTAAGGTTGTCCTAAAACTTGTTGCAGTTTGCATGTGGTTTAAGTGTGAATCTTGCTTGCAAAAGAATTTTTTTTTTCCCAAGAGCATCAGTCTGCTAGCTGAAACCATAGAGGTTTATCCATGAACAAGACTTGAGTCTTGCTTCCACAATTAAAAGTCTGACTCTAATATTCAGCACAGATCGACTTCTTAAGGGCTTCTCAGGCAAAACCACTGAGTACAATGGGCTGGAGGCTGTGATAGAATGCAGGGCAGTTTCTCTTTCTTTCTCCAGAGGGAGTGTTAAAAGCGTATGGAAAAACCACCTCCATGTCCACATAGGTGCCACAGAGTCATGAAAACAACTAGATAGGATAATTTACTGATGATTTTGTCTCACTCCAGAGTTCTCTTGTGAGTTCCTCCCAGACAGCTTCTTGGGAAGCATAGCAGGAGTTCTGTGGCTTAGATGCAGTCAACCCCATTCCCCATAAGCAGCCTCAGGCTGTGCGTTGCTGCTTCTGTGCATTTCTGCTGAACATGACTATCCACATCACTGGGCATTCAGTGGCCCAGTTGCTAGAATTCTGCAGGCAGAAGGTGTCTTGTGCCACCTACCCATTGGTGTCTCAAAAATATCCCACAGAGGGAGGTCAGTAAAGGTGGGGAGGCTTGTTGGGTCAGTTCTTTTCCCCACTCAAAGGATGAGTCTGCTTTACTGAGACCAGATATACTGGAACAGAATGTGCTTCAGAGTTTGGTGCAGTGTAACCCTTAGGAAGGTGGTGTTGTATTTCTACCCGTGGGTGTGGTGTTACTTTGTATGGATTGGCAGGCAGTGCAGAGGCCAGGCCGGCCCACACTGATCAGCTCTCACACGAGGTATGCTGCATATCCTCCCTTCCCTGGCGAGTGATATGCCCTTTTCTGCCCCCCGATTTCTGCACGTCTGCCTTCTGCATGGAATGCCCACCACTCTGACCCACTTAGCCGTTCTCTTTTCCTAGGTAAATGCCACTCTGCACCTGTTGTGCAGCTTCAGCGTTCCTTTCAGAAGCAAGCCTTCTCTGATATATTTCTGCCAGATTAATTGCTTTTGTGCTTTCACATCAGCTCTTGAAATAAGTTTATTTACTATTACTTGCTTGATATATATGTCTAATTCTGGGGAGGAGCTGGTTTATAAAAGGGAGATTCATTTGTTTACTGCTCTGTCCCAAAGACCTGTTACTCTTCCTTGGACAGAGGAGGAGGTTGTGGTCAGAGTTTCATACTTGTTGTATCACGGGAATTTCTTGCAATGCAAAAAATCCTGTAATGCATGAAATTAGGTTCCCGGGACCCATTCAGAAATTTCAAAATATTGGATAAAAGTTGAAATAAAAAAGATAAAGGAAGTCACTCTCTTGCACTTATATGCTGAGATCCATGTCTGAACTGTGGAGTATATTCTTATGAAATACACATTTGCATCACAGACTCAGTACAACCCTAGACTTGGAGCTAATTGGAATCTGGCTGTGACCTGATCTGAGAGTGTTTCTTTTTAAAAGAACAGGAATTCCTTCCCCCAAATCTAGCCCTAATGTCCATCATAAGCAAAATAGCCTTCATCTACTCATTCCCATAATCTATTCCCAGAGTTGGTAAGAGAGGGCTCGCCGGCAAAAACAGATCCACTGCCTGTGTCTAACTTGTGAACTAACTATAGCTTTCATATTTTAAATACCTCAAAGATCATAAAAAAAGAATAACATTTTAAGATATAGGAAAATTATATAACATCCAAATTTCAGTGTCTATAAAGTTTCCAAGTTTTATTTTATTTTAATGGATAAATACTCATATAGGTTTATGGCCCCCAATTTGATGTTTCATTATGTGCGTACATTGGGGAATGATCAGACCAGGCTAGGAAGACTATTGGAATGTATTCATCCTAGTGGCTTATGCATTGTCTCTGCTTTTGTGGTTTAATAGTAGAAATGTATAGTTGTAACACATACTATTTGGCCAGGAAAACCTAAATTGTGTACAGTGTGGCCATTGATATATTCTAGCATGTCAACTTATGGCTTGGATGGCAGTCTTTATGTGGAGTCAATGCTGAATTATATGGTGGTATGGATCATGTTGAGCTCCTCATTGCCCTGAAGGAGAAAGCAGTTGAATCTTGATGAGGTCTAGTAGGGAGGTGCTGCAAGGTTGGCAGCTACCCAAAGCTGAGAAACAGCTGCAGCTGTGAATGCCTGAGCAACCAGCCTTCAACCTCCTTGATCGCAGAGCGCACGGCTTCTGTGACTGATGGAATGTGTACATACAGTAGAATTTTTAGAAAGTCAAAGACCATGTTGGGCAAACTTTAAAAATAGCTATTCGAAGGCTGCAGAAAATGTGTGGTCTTCTAGGCTCAGGTTAGAAATTTTGGTAGTGGATTTTGCCAACCTAGAAAAAAAATTTTTGAGAGATATGAAAATAATTGGTATCTTGTGCACAGAGTTCAGTTGGATTGAACTCCATCTACCTGTCAGAAGATCTCAGCCACTGAAACTAGTAAAATGGAAGAAAGTTAGAAGGAGAGATCCTCCCCATGAGTGAGGGGTCCAATCACTACTATATTCTTTCATTGCCCCTGGCCCATCCCCTCCAACAAGGGCCCTGCGCAGCTCTTTTTAGACCTTTGGGAAGCCAGGTGGGCTAGCTTTCCCTAGAGTCATCTAGAGGTAGCTTCTAGAGCAGGAAAATCTGCACACTCTACCAAGTCAACATGCCTTTTACACTTCCATTGATGTGATGCACTGGACATTATGGGGAGGGAATGGGACTTGAGATGACGGTAGAGGGGTGGATTTACAGCAAATATTCCAGCCTTTTCTGAATGAGTGGCTGTAAATTTAGGCATATTTTTTATTTTTTGCATTGTCATGGGTAATATAGGTTTTTCACAGTGAACTCCTTTATCAAGAAACACTTGAATTCTCCTGTCAATGATAAAGCATGCTTTGGGAGTGTCCGCAAACTGGAAGGAATCAGAAAGTAGAGCCTCTCTTCCACATTGAACAGTTTAGAATTGGTTGCAGCCAATTCCCCTCTTTTTACCAAGGTGTGAGAGGTGTCGGTAAGCCAGGAGATTCCCTCTGTAATGGGAACGAACATGAGTGAGGGACATTATACCAACTGTAAGCTTGGAGATTTGGGTTATGACAGTCAATTTAAGGGTGAGTAGCAAGACATTAAAGATGAGGGAAGTGCCTGTATTACTGGTTGAAATAAACTCTGGATACATTCAAGCCAAAGATACTGGTTTAACCAGCCCACCTCCCTTCTGGTCGCGGTCTGTGTGAAAGCTCTCTGATTCAAGGGAAGCTCCCTCTGAGGCTTTTTTTATTTCTCTAAATATGGGGGTAAGAAGGCTGACTACTTACTTGACTTTGGGGAGGTTTCAGTTGGGTGTTGCACCTACAGCTAGACACTGCTTGTTTTGTGAGAATGATTAGTCTGGGGAATACCACTGAGAAGAGGATCCTAAATTTTGTTCACTTGATTGGGAGAAGACATTGGAATTGGAGGAAAATTTTCTTTGGTCAGTGTAGTTATTTTTGAAGAGGAGAATAAAAACCAAGGGTCATGCTCAGAACTCTATTTGGTGAAAAATAAAATTCTCTTGTTTGAAAAAGAACTATGCTGTTCCTAGAATTTTTTGTGATAGATGGTAAACTTGACAAAGACTGTGATCCTGTGAGCATGCATTTCATTCAAAACAAAGTTAATAGTAGAAAGGGATGGGCCAAAAATAGAAAAGGATGGCAACCTCCATGAGGAGAGTTTATAGATCAGAGCTTCAAAAAAATTCATTTTATTCAGTAAGGGTCTAATAAAGTTATTCAATTGTGATTATTATCTATCCAATAAATACCTATTGTGCTGCTTACTGACTATTGAAATACATATATTTGTATTAAATAACCCTAAAGAAAAAGTGTTTATTTGTTATGTATAGCAAGAGGCCATCAATGTACTGAAATGGGCTATAGAGAGTCCCTTAACTTAGGATCTGGACTTCTAACTGTATACTACTTTGCGTTTGACAAGTAACACAGCTTCTCTGTCTCTAAAATGGGAACATAAACAAACAGTGAGCTAACAAGAAAGACAATTACCTGCCCTATTTCCTGGCAGGACTAGAATGAATGTCTTTGTTGTATTCAGAAATAGTGAATTTTGGAACCATCCTTCTTGTATAAATGAGGGAGTTGCACGAACTACTTTCATTGAATTTTATACTGTTTTTCACAGGCCCGCAAGTATATCATGGACTCTATGGGGGAAAAATATGCAGAAGGAGTTATTCTGGACTTGGAAAAGACATGGGAGGAGTCAGACCCACGGACACCACTCATCTGCCTCTTATCAATGGGCTCAGACCCCACAGATTCCATCATTGCCTTGGGGAAGAGATTAAAAATAGAAACCCGATATGTGTCCATGGGCCAAGGCCAGGATGTCCACGCTCGAAAACTATTGCAACAGAGCATGGCAAATGTAAGGCCAAATGTCTAGTTCTGACAACACTGCAGAGTTGGGATGTGGACATTTCATTGATTAAGAATATTCTGTAGAATAGATATTGGGAAAATTATTATTGCCTGACTAAAAACTCTGCCTCAGTTGCTTTAAACAGTTTCTTCTTATAGAATAACTTGTTGCAAAAGATACGGCTTGAAAGGCTTTTTTTTTTTTTTTTTTT